CGACAATCGAAAGCGCTCAGTAATTTGGTTAGATCCTGCCTGGTTCAGAACCAAAGCTATGCCCTAAACGAAGAATGCCCACTGTAAAGGTAATGGTCATTGTTTGGTTGTCTACTGCCGGTGTGATTCTCAGCTGTTTACAAAACGGCATGAGCATTTTTGCAGATGTGTACTGTGAAGAACTGAAAACAATGATAGAGAATCTCGCACATCTGCGACAAGCTTTAGTCCAGCTTTGGTCAATCGGTCGTTCCCTCTGCTCCTTTACGACAACGCGCGATCCCATGCTGCACAACAGACAGTCTCCAAGATGCAAGAGTTGGGGTTGGAAGCTCTCCCTCATCCACCATCCTCACCGAACAACTTGGACAACTTTTTAGCAGGAAAAAATTTAATTCCAATTGTGAGAAATGCCTTTGAAAAGGTGATTTTTACAGGAAGGGCATCTAATCATAAACTACCACTGCGTTGGAAAAGATGCATCTATTGCATTGGTACTTTGGATAACAGAAATAAAAAAGTTTGAAAAAAAAATACTTTAACTTGTTAAATAAAATATTTATAATTGTTCTTTTAATTTCAGGTAAAGACCAGGGTAGAGCCACGCAGCAGCCTCGGCTGTTGCACGAATGGGCAGGCTTGTCCGGGTAAGTACCAAAACCTCACAGAACACCAGCGTAAAGTGGAAGTATAATACTTTTGCGTTTCGGCTGGTGATTGAGGTGGCCGGAGCCCAATTTCCAAAAGTTTGTCAACACACCTGGAACCCTCGAGTGTAGCAATGTACAGGGGCGGCGGTATCCACTTAACATCAGGTGACTTTTCACATAAAATTAAAAAAAAAGACCTAATATTAATTAATAGAATCTAACATATTAAAATACATGGAACAAAAGTTAAATATTCAAATAACTCAAGGATATACTCCATTGTGTACATAATATGAGATTCTTTGTATTTTGTTAACTTTAGAGTTGTACTTGGTACATCTTTTTTGTTATAAAATTTTTATAAAACTTACTTGACGCCCTGCTTAATGTGAACTAAAGTCGAGATTTCACAAGACAAGAGACAATTGGGGTATTTTCGTGGCTTCACTGTAGGAGCGTTAACAAGATATCTGTAGTATAAAATATCATTGGTTCTATCAAATCAAATGTAATAGTTGAGGTTGTTTTTAATGTTTATATGAATAGATTTCTTCAACCAACCTAATCTATAAGTATTTAGATTTCAAATTTTATTTTCAAATAATTAAAATTTTTTTGAATACAACACAGCTCATTCAATGAATGTATTTGTTCAGTAGTTAACAAATTTATCATATTTATAATTTCTTGACACTAGTCATAATGAGGAAGAAAAATTATGACAATAAAAAGACAAAAAAAGTTTAATGGATAAAATTATAGTTCTAGTATTATAATTAATTATTCATTCATTCCATTAATTAGTCATTTATAACTACCAAATAGAGCTGCCATTTTTCAAATATCTTAGATTCAAACAGCAATATCGAACATATTTTGTGTTTAATGTGCAATGACTGGTTCACAGCTTATGTTTAAAATCATAGCTTGGTGAAACATAGAAAGCATCTTGCCCCTGTCTACCCAGAGGGATTACAAGACATGTGTGAGGTATTAAAAATAACATGAAAAATTTAATAATAATTCTAATTCTACCAAAATATATGTACATCAGAAAAATTTACTTCAAAACTTATACAATAAAAATTATTTTATTCTCCCATAGTGCCTTGAAGGCTCATAGAAAGATTTTACTAAATATAGATTTTTATTTTGGGAAAACAGTAGAAACCATAAATAACAGCTCCTGTTCCACAAATACACAAATTGCTCCTTAACACACTCACAAGCTTTTCTTTATTCATGCTTACGACTGTTACCTTAGAAAGAGATAAAAACTGTTACGCTTTGTCACAACTGTTACTGGACATTGACACAGTTACAAGATTTTTCTTTTTCTTAGTAAAAAAAGTAACAGCCTATATATGTCCCACTGCTGGGCAAAGGCCTCCTCCATACAGAGGGTATCATATATCGACACTGGGGATCGAACGCAGGTTGCTCGAGTATATATTGAATTAAAGGCGAGCATCGGGACACTGAGCTATCACTGCTCAGTTTCTTTTTCTTATATCTGTCTTATAGCTTTGTTAGAAAGAGAAGCACAGACATTACCATAGAGTAACATACTGTAACAGCTGTTACTATGGTAACAGTTACACAAATTGTCACAACATACTAGTATGAAATAACGAGCTGTTATTTGGAACAGGTATTTGTCACTGTTACTTTTATGGAACAGAAACAGGCGTAACAGGTACTCAATTTAACCTAGTATAGCTCACTCCGACATCAAACTCATGCAGTGATATTTTTTTTTCCTAAAACATCTTCCAATGTGTGTATTGTATTCTCCAAAATGTTATCAAATTCTCCACAGGATTTTTTATGATTATTTGATGTTATTGGTTGAAGCAATATTTATCTTAATAAGGCCTTTTGGTGAAAAATATTATGTTCCAAAAAACTTATTTTAGTTTTATGCAGGTTAGACCGTGATATTACTTAATGTTTCTTCAATCTTATCAATGTAACGAAAGAAAGTTAAGTAACCGGCCTTGAAGCCCTAAAGCGCAAACCGATGAAAAACACTGACTTCAAATAATTAAAGAGCCAGAAAGTGGACCTCACTTTACATTTCGTTTATAATTTTTTACGGCGGCTAAAATTATATGGCGAAAATACATGCACAAAATTTTTCATTCAACGATGAACATAAAAACTGTTTACATAATTTTACTTACTAAACAATGTTGTCTGTTGTTCTCACTGAACCATTGAAAAGATTAATATAACTTTCTTAAACTGATTTTGATACAACAGTAACAATTAACTAAAAATACCTAATGCAACTTTACAAATGGAAACCTTGTCTTGAAGTAAACATTATCTCTCCTTGGGGTTAATCAACCTCTTTACTTCTGACTTCTGTCTGACAGTTATCACCTCCATATGACCTTCAAGTGCCTTCAACCAATACGTTTTGTTGCACGATATAACAAAATAATTAATAATCTCCTCAATATAATTAACAATACAGAAAGAATAAAGTTAATAATTAAGTGAGTAAGATATGAGCAAGTCGTTTATAAAAAAATATTTTATGAAAGTTTTTTAAGTTTTTTTGTAGTGTAGTTTGCTGCACAAAAGAGTGTGCCCCACACTAGACTTCGAAAAAAATTCAAATTAGAATTCAGACTACTATACAATAGTAAACAACTTTTCCTTTCATGTTTTTTCCCGTTTTACTTTTACCTACAGTACTTTGTACAAACATGATTACATTAAATATTAAATAGAAAATCAATAGAAAATAATTAAAGGGCTAAAGGGGGCTCCACTCCTTTGTTGCCTCGAGGCCTCCAGACCTCTAAATCTGGCACTGGTTTTATACTGGTCAAGTGTTCAGTACAGTAGACAAGTAATGTTAGTGTGTACTGCACGTACACAGTGTTGTCCAGACGGTGGCAAGTCAACTTGGCTTGCAAGCTGCCTTACAACATGATCAAAATAGAATCCCTTTCTATTTTTGGTGCAAGTCCTGCAAGTGCACCACTCGCGCGCCGGTAAGCCCCCACAGGTCACTTGACTCTTCACTTAACGTAGTGTAAACCGTCAAATTAGTACAGTGGCCGGCGACAGTCAACAAAATTCCGTTTTGCTCGTCCGATTCGAAAGAGAAATGCCACTGTATTCAGCGGCAGACCAAGCCCTTCAGAGGCACGGGGCGGCAAAGCTAGCCCCTAGTTTAGGAAGCTGACCTAATTTTACAAGGTTAACTGTTTATGTTTATTAAGTTAAAATCTTAAAAGAGAAATTTAAATTAGACTTAAATAAACATACACAGAATATCTATGTTTGATAAGGAAAATAAAATACGATTGGCAAAGAAAAAAGCAATTAGTAAAAATAAATTAAACGGTACTTTTCATTTTTATTAAGTTTGTTTGTTGTGCACTGAAGTTATCCGAGTTTAATAAAATGAAGGCACGAAAATACATATATATGCGTTCAAGGCAGGCATGAAAGAATAAGCAGAAAATCCTCAATATTTTTTTTTTTAATGTAGTTTCACCTCAATACACTTTTAAAGAAGCTTCCGCCATCCGGTTAATCCGCCACTGACTGAAATAAAAAAAAAAATGAATACCTTGAATACGGTTACAAACCTCTAAATGACTAATTCAAAGGCGACCAGTAATGGCCTGTTAAATATAATTATAAATATTGCCCTCATTTCCTATCTATTAATTACGTATTCTCTCGTTCGAATTATCGTTGTAAAACGATATTCGAAATTGTTTGTATGCTGGAAAGGATATAACAATGGATGCGCCAAGCATTGCTTCAAATGCTAAGAAACAATGTAGAAAAAGACGTTAAGATATTCGTCGGTGTGGCAATCAGCCGTTTAGCTCAGTGGCTAGACCGTCAGGCCGCGAATGCCGAAGACGTGGGTTCGATTCCCACAACGGTCATTTCATTTCATTTCCCACAATCTTTTCGTACTTTTTCTACATATTTTAATATTAATTACGTATTCATGTTTTTGGGTGAATAAAAATGACGATGAGATTTAAAATTTCGCAATGGATAGCTACAATATCTTCTTTGGTTTTCATTTTGATGTAGAATAATTATCAGAGGGAAGCAGTTATGCATAAAGCTATATCGTTACTATTATATAAACTCCCAATTACTTATGATTATGAGAATTGATACTCTGAAATGTTTACGTATTGTTATCTTATCACACGATATATAACTTGTTATAATTAAGTAATAGTAATAGTCAACCTTAGCCAGAGCAGATCAGTCTTCTGGTGCTGTTGGGTTAAAAAAAATATAATTTTTTTTGAACCAAATTATTAAGCATACATACATATCAATAAAGGACATTAGGATATAAAAATGAATATTGCAATAACGGGAGCGGCAGGATTTTTGGGGGATCGCTTGGCGAGTGCTCTATTGCGAGAGGATTCGCCGTTGCCCGTGGCGAGCCTTCTGCTGGTGGACGTGCGTGAGCCGCGCGCGCGCTCCGACCCGCGCGTCGCCACGCTCGCCCTCGACCTGACGGCGCCCGCGGCGGCGGAGCGGCTCGTCACCCCCGAGCGGCACGCGCTGTTCCACCTGGCGGCCGTCGTGAGCGGCCACGCCGAGGCCGACTTCGACCTCGGGCTGGCCGTGAACCTGGACGCGACGCGCGCGCTGCTCGAGGCGGCGCGGCGGCGCGCGCCCGCCATGCGGCTCGTGTTCGCCAGCACGGTGGCCGTGTTCGGCGGGGAGCTGCCGCCGGTGGTGGGCGACTGCACGGCGACGACGCCGCAGAGCTCGTACGGCGCGGCCAAGGCGGCGAGCGAGCTGCTGCTGAGCGAGTACTCGCGGCGCGGCTTCGTGGACGGGCGCGCGGTGCGGCTGCCCACGGTGACGGTGCGCGGCGCCGAGCCCAACCGCGCCGTCACGGGCTTCGCGAGCGGCGTCGTGCGCGAGCCGCTGCGGGGCCGGCGCGCCGTGTGCCCGGTGCCGGCCGCGCAGCGCCTGTGGGTGTGCAGCCCGCGGGCGGCCGTGCGCGGGCTGGTGCGCGCGGCCGAGTTGCCGGCCGCCGCGCTGGGCGGGCGGCGCGCGCTCACCCTGCCGGGCCTGGACGTGTCGGCGGGCGAGATGGTGGCCGCGCTGCGCCTCGTGGCCGGCGCCGAGGTGGCGGCGCGCGTGCTCTTCGAGCCCGACGCGGCGGCGGCGCGCATGGTGGCCGGCTTCCCGCACCGCTTCGACACGGCGCGCGCTCTCCGCCTGGGCTTCGTCGCCGACCGAGACTTCGCCGAGATCATTCGAATATTCATCGAAGAGGAATCCATGACTACCGCCGACTGAATCTCGGAACCCAAATCTTTACCTCTTAGAGTGGAGAACAGTGAGAGAATGAAAAAGTACAAAATAACTGTATGAAAATTTCTCTATTATTTTATTAATTATAAGAATAATTTCCTGTCACAAATACCCACGAAACTATACAATATATGTCTCAATATTTTTTAAACTATTTTGTATTGCTTTCACAAGTTTTACTTACCCCAATCTATTTCAGTCTCTTGTCCAAATCAAAGCAATTATTATTATCATTTAGTAACAATTCAAGTACCAAAGTTCATTTAGTAACATTCAAGAAAACAATATTTAGTAACAATTCTAAAATCTATTACTTTTGCTAGAGTAGAGTGTATTATCATAGATCACCATTGTTCTGAAAAAACCTGTACATATTTGATAATGTATGTCAAACTCAAATACCTTTTAATTTATACGCATAATTACAAAATGATTGTCAAAATACTACTACCAGAAAAAAAAGCCACTGACCTATGAAGAACCAGCAGGACAAATTATTTTACCACTAGCTGCTGCCCACGACTACGTCTGCGTAGAATAGGCTGAAGGCGTAACATTCAGACAGAAAGACAGATATACATAAAAAATATGTATATAAATTATAGCCTATGTCTTGTTCTGATGTATACATCGGAATAAGACATAGGCTATAATTATAGCTTATAAGCTATATTATTGTAGTTTCAATTAAATGCATTCAGTATCAGTAGTAATTACGTGAAACAGTAACAAACATTCATCCATACATACAAACTTTCGCCTTTACAATATTAGTAAGGATTATTTGACTAAAAAAAATATGTATAAAATATATTAAAGTTCACTTGAAAAAGCTTAGCCTATGTCCACAGGGGAGGAATACGTTCAGCAGTGGACTCAAACGGGCAGAAATGAAACGATGTTAGAGCTTGGCTAACAATTAATTTCCAGTGTGTTATCATTTAAATAAACACTAATATTATAAAAAAAGCTAACAGTCCTATAGAATTTTGTAGGATTTAGCAACTCAAAAAACATTCACTTTGAATGTTTTTTGGGATTTGAGTATTCATTATCCATATTTTATTGTATAAAATTTACTTATTCTATGCTAATTGTGGGTAGAATTAATTTATGTTTGACCAAGTGCTTATATGATGCATATTACAATTCATTCTTATTTGTATGGACAAATCAATTTGAGACCTAATAAATACTGTATCAATTAAAAAGTTTATTTTTTAATGTTAACAATGAAATGTCAATAATAATATAATTGTACTTTAAATTATTAATATTATTAAGTAGGTTTTCAAGGTGGTATAATTATACCCACCTTAAAAATCTACTTTTGCTATAAGCAGATCATATTTTTCAAAATCATTTATATTTGTTTTACAGACTGGATGTAGGCTGGTTTGAATTTTGAAACTTATATTTTTGCGTGTAGGAACACAGTACCTATACCTAACTCCGCAAACCATGGGCTCACTTGCCTTAACAATTTTTTAGGCTCACTTGCCATCTTCTATCATAAAAATGTGTTACAAAATTTTAAAATAAAAAAATTATCAAGGCTAAGATGTCATAGTTATTTATAAATATAATTTCTTTATAACTTAACAATGTTTTGGGTTCACTTGCCATGCTCTCTTATAAAAAATGTATTACAATATAATGAAAATAAATCAATTATTAAGGCTAAAAATATTGTATTTATAAATACATTTTCTTTATAACTTAATATTTTTAAAAATTAAAGAGTTGCTGTTCAATTGCTTTCTCTGACTCCCAAGTCTCAGCTGATTCTGGATCATGTTTCCGGCGCTTTGTCGACTTGGGAGGAGTTGCACTATCACGAGACCGTTTTATTTTCTTTTTCTTATGTCGAACCTCTGGTTCTGTTTTAGTATTGTGTTCATTATCTGACGAGTTCCTCTCGATTTTCCTTATTTTCTTAGCTTTTTTCGTTGCATCCTTTATGCTTTTAAATACAGATTCAGATTCCATGCCATTCAAACGCAGTGTAATATGTTTTGGTATTTTAATAACCGTCTTATAATTAACACCAAAAAGAGGATGACGACACTTGGTTTCAGGTAAAGGTATGAAATTTGTTTGATTGTTTATCATGTTACTATCTTCAACAAAGTGGGGCTTGGGAATTCTTTTGTGGAGATGAACTATACCACTCGGGACTATATTTTTTATAACAGGTTTGTTTTGTTCTAATGTTAAAACAGTCATACTATTGATATTGCTGTCATTAAACCCTATATATGTTTGACTGTCTACTTTAAGTTTGCACTTGTTGTCTATCACTAGATTGGAGCCGTTTAGATTTTTAATATTAATTTCACTAGGGCACTTTAACACCCAAACCTCATCATCTTGAGATATAACACAATCATTGTCAACAGTGGGCAAAACTGTAACTAGATGTCCATTTAATTTAAGATAGTTCTGTAATTTAGTTGAGCATTGTACATCGTTTGTTTTGTACCTTTGACTATTATTATTAAACTCAGATGTGTCTTCATCTTCAAATGTTATCAAATCAGAAATTTTAGATCTTCTTGGAGTTGCTTTATTGCTAACACCTCCACAACTCAGTATTTTATCATTTTCATCTTCATTTTGTAACAAAGCATCTTTTAATTTTTTTTCTATGGTTGTATTTAATTGAGTCAAGTTTATTTCACTGATGTTACTCTCATCATCATCGTTACCAATACTTTGACTATTATCACACAATATATTACTATTATGCAATATTTTTCTTTTTTCTTCTCGTTTACATAATTTATTAAGAAGGGTTATGTCTAATGTATCATCGTGGATTATTTTTTCTGGTATATTTTCTTCTTCTAAAGAGTTGTTCTCAATCAATACTTTTTCTTTATCCTTCTTTGATTTCTTTTTTTTCGTTCTGCCAGTTTCCATACCTACTAACTCTTTTTTAACATTGGTTTCATTATGACTATTACTAAAATGTGATATAGGCATTATAGTGTCGTTTTCAGGAGGATTTACAATGATAATTGATTCTGACTCATTATCAATATCAGGCTCTTTGTGCTTTTTCTTTTTCTTAGTCTTTGGCTTTAGTGCCATTTTTTCATTGGATGACTGCTCTTCCTTAACTTTGAAATTGAAAAAATCTTCATCAATACTCTCTTTATGATGCTTATCTATGTCACTGTCTGGTTCAGTTTTTATGAGCTTTCTTTTTGGTTCAACTAAATCATTGTTTTCAAAGCTATTATGTTTCCGTTTCTTTGATTTCTTGTTTGTATCCCTTTCTTTAAAAGAATGTTGCTCATTTGTATTAAATAACCTCTTCTGTATTTTTTTCTTATAGCTGTGGCCTGATTCAGAGCCATTATCACAGTTTTCTTCTTTTGGCCTGAAAAAAAAACAACTGTTACAAAAATAAAATTAAAACATGAAAAGAAAAAATACATACATATTGACTTTTTGGTTTACATATTATGATAAATGATGAAGTGGAAGAACTGAACTTTTAACAATGGAAGGGCTACGCAACAGCTTCAGCTGTTGCAAGAATGGGTAGGCTCTTCGGGGGATAAGTACCACGACCTCACAGGAGACTGGCGTAAAGTGGACGTATAATACTTTCGTGTTTCGTCTGGTGAGTGAGGTGGCTGAAGCCCAATTTTCAAAAGGTTGTCAACGCATCTGCAAACCCTCGGATGTAGTAGATGTCCATAGGTGGTGTACAAAAAAAAACTGGAGGCATAATTTTGCATGAATTACCTACAAGTATTCTAAAGAATCTTGCATAAAATGAATAAAGATTACAACTGGAGAACTCAATAAAAAAATAAGGTAAATGTAAATAAGTATGTTGACCAGCCACAGAACTGAACCTCTGTAAGTTAGAAGGTTGAACATAAATTGTCAGGTGGGAGGAAGGAAAATTACAATATTTCATTTCAAGTAACCTAACAATTCTTTTTGTTGAATAACACATTAGTAATTTAATAAACAAAAAATATTTTTTTTAATTGCAATATGCTCTCGCCACTATTTTGAACAATTGCCCGTTTTTATTTTGCTGAATTTAGTTCTTTGATATATTATACAAATATTTTAAAATGAAAAATCTAATCTAAATAAAAAAAACAGTTCTTACATATCGGGATCGGAGTTGCAATCGTTTGAAGCATCTGTCCACAAAAAGCTTTCATCTGATGATTCCATTAAATATCATTAAATTTAAAATCTTTTTGTAATTATAACCTTTTATTTTCACGCCATTCTCAATCTCATCATGTGTATTGTGTTTCTATGACAACCGCTGGCATAGATAATTAATACATGTATAACAGTGCAAACAACTCTCAAAAATATTTGTCCCTAAAGCTTAAGTGAAAAACCCCTAGAAAGCCCTATTAATACAATACATTTTTTTTTAATTCTGAGTAATAAATAGCACAAACATGTTTGCCATAGTTTCCAGATGAATAGAATAAATACAGTTAATTATATTATTGCCTAAGTTGCCAACCCTGATATAAATACTCTGTATTAATAAATTTATCTAAATTTTTTTTTTATATTACACTAGCGACCCGCCCCGTCACCCGGCTGCAATGAGGATACTAAAATAAATTTCAAAATGTCTTTATATAAGTTACTCTTGAAAGAGCGACATTGATCCTCATGATAAAGCATTAAACATATAAGCAGAGAATCATATAGCGCATATCCTCATCCAGACATGACTTGCCATATAATTAGTATGTGCTGAAGTAAAAAATGTTTTACTTGGTATGGTATAGTCAACTATCACGATACCCTAATAGAAAATGTGCTCACGTCTTTGTGACTCCTAAGCATAGGACCACGATATTTAAGGGGTCTTTTAGATACGCGGCTTCTCGCTGTTGGAACGATTTACCTCCACCAATTCGTGCCATGAATTCAGTAAGCCTGTTTAAAAGAAGACTTAAATTACATTTACTAAATGACCAAACATCCTCTAAATCATAAATAATTTATGTACAAACAAATTCTTTCAATAATTCCATCTTAGCGGCTTTTATATTGCCTCAACCAATCACATTCCGTGTCTCACTCTGCCTTGATTACTTACGTCTATATATAATTATGCTTATTTTACTATGTTTATTGTATTTTATATCTGAACATAATATACTAGTTTACAATGTTATATTTTTACTTTACAGCCCACTTGTAAATGAACGTAATTAATTGTTATCATTACTATTATTACTTTGTATTGTTATTTTTTTTTTCTCAATAGATGAGAAGAAAAAAAAATTTAATATTTGTAGTATTTTCGTCCGTAAAGTCAACTTTAGGCTCCATTTGAAAATCAGCGCTGTAGTACAAATAGAACTGCAGCATTTTGCTGAAATGGAGTTCCTATTTGATGTCACAATTTTTCTGTTTATGTTTTGAATATTGAATTGTATTTTTTGTTAAGTGATGTCAAATAAAGAGATTTTCTTTCTTTCTTCTTTCTTACTTACTGTTCGTTCGACTATATACGAAATATACACAATCATCAACAACAAAAGATATTCTATTCAGTTCTTTTTTGAAATTTAATTATCTTATTAACTTTTTTAAATACCTTAATAAAACTACGATTTTCCATTATTAAAAATACTTGTCCAAATACTAAATTGCCTTAACTCTAAATTCAAACCAAGATCTTAAAAGAAGAAATATAATTTATAAATTATGGTTTGAATCTAATAATCCAGTGATAAATAATACAATACCTAGATATTATTACTTAATATACATTTAAGATCGATTGTGACAGTAGAACATTAAAAAGGATAATTTTAAAAGTGATATTTCTATTTATGGCAAATGGCCTGTATTACTATCCACCAACATCATCACAGTCATAGTTTAACCGATTCATTCGGTCAGTAACACCGTGATTCTTCGGGTCTCAACCGATATACTCTTTTACTCGGACACCGGTCACCGATCGACTCTCTCTCTCTTTCTCTCTCTCTCAGTGATCAGGCGTGTTCGTTTCGTTCGGTACCGATGACTAGTTTTGATTAACAATTATCATCCGGAAACGTTTTTTTAGTACAGTGCAAAGATACGTTCCTTAGTCGTTTATCGTTCGCGAACTACAAAAGACTAGTCATATGTGATAGTAGGTTCTGGCTTTGTGGTAAATACTAGAAACATGTTTTTTTATTGTTCAATTTTTATTACGAAACTTTCAAATTATTTTCTTGGGTTAAAATCCTTTTATTCCATGATATACAGCAGATTATTTCTGGGTATTTCCTTAAAATCTTAATTTCCTTTGAAATCGCGTGGTCGCTTGTAGTTCTGATGAATCCTTCAGTTACTGTTAGCTTTGAGATTTTATCGACCACAATGTCAAACGTCGATAGACGACCCGAATGGCGTAGTGGGTAGTGTACCTGACTTACGCGTCAAAGGGTGTGGGTTCGATACCCACTGCTTGAAAAACATTGTGTAATGAACATAGTGTTTTTCTAGTGTCTGGGTGTTTATATAATATGTTTAATAAGTATTTATTTACTAAGAGAAAAGTATGTTTAATTATGTTTATCAGTTATCAAGTACCCATAGTACAAGCGTAGCTTAGTTAGGGACTAGAAAACGTCGTGTAAAAATGTGTCCATAAAAATAATATAAATATCTTCTACGAGATTTACGATCTCGTAGAAGATATTTATATTATTATTTAAACCTAAATACACTATCGATCACCCTTCAAGCTGAGGTTTAAACATTCATTCGATGGTCTTGGATCTTGTTATCCCCTCTCATTAGTCGAATCGTTCATCTTTCGTTACTAGAGGTCGCAGTGGAACGGACGGCATTATCGTGTCGTCATCATGTATTTCTACGTTGTTCTGCTGACAACGCGAAACTCCTGCCTGCGGTCCTTGTCCGAAGAAAATGTTGAAACTGTAACAAAAAATATACAGCCCTTTAAATCCATACTGATATTATAAATGCGAAAGTAACTAAAAACTACTGAACCGATTTAAATGTAATTTGTACATAGTTAGTCTAGAGCCTGAGAAAGGACATAGGCTTTTTTTTATTGGATTTTTTTCAAGAAAGATATTTATTTAAAGGCTTTAACGCGACCGAAACCGCGGGCGAAAAGCTAGTTAGTTATATAATCTGTCTTATTAACAGTCCTATTGTTATTTTAATAATTTTGAACGCATCTGTTTAGTTTCTTGACGTTAGTGTTTGTTTGACAGATTTAAGTCTTTCTTGTTAATGTTGTAGGCCAACATGGTGAGTTTCGGTTTAAATTTTAATATAAATCAGTTAAAATCTAAAATCGGGTTATCTTTATAGAACTATTCTTGGTTGAAACAGTTTGTTTGTTATATTTATAAGGCATAGAATGTAATATTTTTGGTATCTATTGAGTAAATGCATTTAGAATTCATGTTTAAGTGAACACCCCAATAGTTTGTTTTTGATTCCTTTAACTTTGATTTACTTCTTTACACTAACCAAATGGTACATTTTTACTGCAAACTTGTTAAAATTATTAATAATTACAAAGTCGTATTGTGTACTACAGGTAAATTTGTTTGTTTCTCTAGGCTCGTGGTCCCAAAAAACACTTAAAGCGTTTAAACGCTCCTAAAGCATGGATGTTGGATAAACTGGGTGGGGTGTACGCGCCACGACCATCCACAGGTCCCCACAAGCTGCGTGAATGTTTGCCACTTGTCATCTTTTTACGCAACAGGCTAAAGTATGCTTTGACCGGCAATGAAGTGTTGAAGATTGTGAAGCAGCGCCTCATTAAAGTAGACGGTAAAGTGCGCACTGATCCTACGTATCCAGCTGGATTTATGGGTATGTCTGTACTATATTTATGGCAGTGTCAAGTCTGCAAGTCTACCAGTGGCCATTTAGTAAATAGAATATATGGGCAAACATATGGGCAGGTCCGTCCGGGTACGTACCACGACCTCGCAGAAGACCAACATTAAGTGGAAGTTCCTTCCATGTTTCGTCTGGTCAGGGAGGTGGCCGGGTCCTACTTTATTAAAAGGTGGCAATGCATCTGCAACCCTACTGGTGTTGCAAATGTCAATAGCCAGTGGATATCGCTTAACAAAACAGCTTGGACAGCAAGCACCTTTAAACAGAATGGTTAGGAATTACAATAACAACGAGAACTTCCAGGAAGCTAGAATAAGGAATTTATTTAATCGGAACTAATAAGAATGTCAAGAAATCTAATAAATATGGGAGGGTTCCCCCTCCTGCCTGTTGTTCTTAGCCACACTAAACAACAGAAGCGCTTATAGGTGGGTGGTTATAAAAAAAATAACCACAAAGGTTAACAACCTGAACCTACTAACCTAATCTGTCCGAGTCCGATTGCTTTGTGTGGGATCAGCAACGCATTTAATTTAAAAAAAAAATTGATCAAACCAATGGCATGAGTATGAAGTCACCCACTTCCTATATTTATCATGTTGGCAGTACTGTGTATGCAGTTTTATTAAAATTAATAAAATATGCGTACTTTCTTAGTTAATAAGCAACTCGATTCAAAACCCAGCCCTTGTTGTTATTTGTTTTTATACTGTTTTCCTCTGTTTTATTGTAAAACAGATTTCTTGTTCTGCCCGCTTTCTATTTTATATTTATTATCTTTTGTTGCACCTTTGGATTTTGTAACTGAATTGGACACTGTATTTTTTCACCCATAATATTCCATGCTGTGAGCACCTTTAATTGTTATGACACTAATAAATAGTTCATGTACATTTAATTTCTTTAATCTAAAATAGTATACATTATGTTGGCATTCATTAAATAAATAAATAAATTATTAAATAGGCATCAGGCGAACTAGCTGTTCCTTTGCCACCTTGTCATATAAAATAAGAAAAATTAAATAGAATTACCTAGCCGCTAGAAATGGTATTAGAAAAAAAATATTCTAATGAAAGTTGTTAGGTATTCCTTAATGCAATCCAACATAGTTTAATTTTAAGTAATATACTTACATAATAGAATAGTGAAATAGTTCTTATAGCATTCTAACATAAAAAAATATTCTGCTACAAGTTATTACTCATTAGAATATATTGCGAATTTTATATATAAGACAATAAAAAGGTTATACAGTGTTCAATAATGTTGGGTTGACCTAAAGGTGAAAACATTAGTAGGTCTGAAGTAAATATCCGTTAACTGGGTGCACATGCTAATTTTGATGCAGAACTCTGGCTATATAAATATATCTTCTTCCTCTTGCTCAGTCCCCAATTCTGAGGATCATGACCAATGTTGTTCTCTTCCACTGCATGCGGTCATAGGGGCTGCCCATTAATCACATGAGGATTTTTGCACTTTTTAACCGCCAGCCTTTTGCACCCAAAATCATGAGTATTTTTTAGTATCTAAGAAGAATCTTAAAAATTTTTGAATATTATCTTTAAATACTGGTTTAAAGTAATATCTAATTTTATTCGCAACGGCAACGCATTTGTGAGCCCTCGGGTGTTGCAGGTGTTCATGGGCGGCGGTAATCACTTACCATCAGGTGAGCCTCCTGCTCGTTTGCCCCTTTTCTCCATAAAAAAAAAAAAATTCTGAAATTAAGGACCATGATTAAAATACAATGGTGACTCAAGGTCAGACTACACACTGCTTTTCGATTTATATTCGTCTGTTTGACGAAAAAATACACATGATATCTTCCTACAACCCCAAGCCAAACCCTCTTTTCCCCATTTGAGCCTCACATGATTGGCCTAGATGGATAGGCCCCTACAGCCACATAGGTAGGGTGAACCTGCAGCATGTGATAAAACACTGCTATAGGTAGGAAGCAAGAGTTCTACTTGTAGCAGCAGAATAACATTATATCTTAACTTACCACTAGTGGCCTCTGTCTGCAGACTAGGCACTTTGTTTATGTAATTAGGAATAATATTATATGAATTCTACTTAAAATAATTGAAAATATGTTAAATGCAATTTCAGATGTTGTGTCTATTGAAAAGACCAATGAACTGTTCAGATTAATTTATGATGTCAAAGGCCGTTTCACAATTCACCGCATCACACCTGAAGAAGCTAAGGTCAGTTTACTGTTTGGTTGTATGAACAATTTGTATATACACGGTTGAAAAGTTAACATTGACCATTTGAACACCGGCAGTACAAGCTGTGCAAGGTGCGCGCCGTGGGCACGGGCCCCAAGGGCGTGCCGTTCCTGGTGACGCACGACGGGCGCACGGTGCGCTACCCCGACCCGCTGATCAAGGTGAACGACTCCATCCAGCTGGACATCGCGGCGGCGAAGATCATGGACTTCATCAAGTTCGAGTCGGGCAACCTGTGCATGATCACGGGCGGGCGCAACTTGGGCCGCGTGGGCACCATCGTGTCGCGCGAGCGCCACCCCGGCTCCTTCGACATCGTGCACATCCGCGACTCCACGGGCCACACGTTCGCCACGCGCATGAACAACGTGTTCATCATCGGCAAGGGCACCAAGGCCTACATCTCGCTGCCCCGCGGCAAGGGCGTGCGCCTCACCATCGCCGAGGAGCGCGACAAGCGCATCGCCGCCAAGGTGGCCGCGCAGTGATCGGCCGCCCTATTCTAATAAAACATACCCGCTGCTCTTCTTCTTTCATTTCTTTTGTCTTTTTGCTAGATTTTTTTGTGTCAAGTTGCCTCCGCCCATGGGCATCTGCTACACCCGAGGGTTGCAGATGCGTTGACAACCTTTTCAAAATTGGGCTCCGGCTACCTCACTCACCAGACGAAACGCGAAAGTATTCGTTATACTGTACGCCGATCTATACATGATCTATGATGCTATATATTTCTATTTACTAATTATAACGTATCTAGTAGCTGCCATTAAAATAATATGTTTAACCTTTGGTTTGTCGGAACGTTGATCTGCGCGCCAAATTGTGCTTCCGTTGACTGTCGGAACGTAGATCTACGCCAGATCGTTTGTGATTAATAGTGAGCTATTTGCTGACTAGATAAAGTTAATTTTCCCGTGAAACTCGATCGAGAAATTAGCGAAGGAATGAATGAACCGTACTTTGATAGCTAAAAGTATTATTACTGGTAAAAACCTATTCATTCTTTCACGAGTATTTCGAATATATACATGTTTTCATTTAAATATTTGAATTACTGTTTTTTGTGAAACAAGTGTCGAAAACCGTAAGTATTTTTTCTTTTCTTATTATTTAGTATATGAAACAATGATAACATATCGAAAACTGCAATATTACTAAGAATTTAAGGAGATACGAAGAACATAAAATGTATGTATCCGTTCGTCATCTCTGTTCCATTTTCGACTACTGACATTTAGTAGTTTGAATTACACATTCTAATTACCTTACACATCATTTTGATTCTATATAGATATTATAAATAAAATGTAAATTTGGAAAAACCTTTCCATCTAACAGAAATTTCGTTTTCAAATTGTAACGTATAAAAACTTGGAAATCTATGATGTTCATAAAAGTCGTTTTTTTGTTCTCGGGTTGAACATTACATTTTTTTTAATTGATTTGAAATTACTCCATCGCTATATAATTTAAAGATAAGGTAGAGAACATTTTATCCACTTAGTGTTAATTTACCTATTTTAATGAAAACGAACAAAAATATATTATTGGAAGATAGAAGGGTAGTAGCACACTGCAACAGTCTATAAAAGGAACAGCGCTAGCCATTTTTGGGGCCAATCCGTAAGTCGTAGGTGTCGTTACCTACAGACCCTTGCCGCTAGGTACGTTCCGTCGCAAATTGCGCAGACCACGGCACATCCTCGATTTTCCTGATGATGAGACGACTGTTGCCATCGACAGGATAAAACAATGTGATGGCATGAGCCGAGGCTCCCTCGGAAGCCCTCGAGCTTAGTCACCAAAACGCATAAGCGAGGTTCAGGCTAGGCGCCCGAGCGTGCAATTCAGGTTCTCTCGGGACATGGGTGTTTCGGGAGATATCTGTTTCGCGTGGCAAGGAGGGAGCCCGCCGCGGAATGCAACCATTGTGACATATGTGCCTAGGAGACAGCCACATAAACAGCTGTTCCTTTTATAGATCGTTGCAGTGTGAAATTTAAATTTTTTTTATTTTTATATATGTTGGGAAAAAAGCAGCAAACGAGCAGGAGGCTCACCTGACGGTAAGTGATCACCGCCGCCCATGGACATCTGCAACACCCGAGGGATTACAAATGCGTTGCCGGCCTTTTAGGAAAGAGTACGCTCTCTTCTTGAAGGTTGCCACGTCGTAACGGTTCGGAAAGACCGCCGGCGGCAGCTGGTTCCACAGAGTGGTTGTGCGAGGCAGGAAATGCCTTTAAAATCGCGCTGTTGTGGAACGCTGGACATCGAGGTGGTGTGGATGAAATTTTTGGTTTTGGCGCAATGTCCGCCGGGATCAATCCAAAATATTCTTCGGAACACCCCGTGATAGATGCGGTAGAAGATGCAGAGTGATCCAACATCTCTTCGCACGGCCAAAGGATCAAGCCGATCGGAAAGACCTTGATCGTCAAAAACCCTACCTGCCCTACGTTGGATGCGGTCAAATGGAAGAAGTTGGAACAGGGGGCTCCAGCCCAGAGGTGAGAGCAGTACTCCATATGGGGCCGAATTTGCACCTTATTAAGGTTTAGGAGTTGAGCCGACATGAAGTACTGTCTCGCCTTGCTGAGCACACCGAGCTTTTTTGAGGCCAATTTGGCCTTACTTTCCAATTGACCGCGGAACTGGACATACCTCGAGATTTCGACGCCAAGTATTCCGATACTAGCTGTGGCAGACAGGGGAGTGCTCTCAAAATGAGGAGACGATAAATGGGGACACTTTTTAGCGGTTAACGCGCAAATTTGTGTCTTATTGGGGTTGAATTGGACTAAGTTTAGTCGACCCCAGTCTGAGACTTTTGTTAACAAAGTCTCGACTTCAGACACAAGTTTGTTCCGGCTCTCGTAGACCTTTTCCCGATAAATGTTAGCACGGCCAGTGTACGACACATCCACGGTGCTATCATCCGCATAGCAATGAACGCTGCTGATTTGCAACATATCATTGATATGCAGAAGAAACAAAGTGGGAGACAGTACGCAGCCTTGTGGAACACCAGCATTGACAAATTTAGGATCAGAGCATGTACCGTCGACGACGATCTTGATGCTCCGATCTGCCAAAAAAAAGCTAGTGATCCATTTGCATAACTTCCCGGGAAGCCCATAGGAAGGCAGCTTCGAAAGAAGTGCTTTGTGCCACACCCGATCAAAGGCTTTCGCTATGTCCAGACTGGCTGCAAGCGCCTCCCCCTTGCTCTCAACTGCTTCTGCTCATCTGTGTGTCAGGTAAACTAGAAGATCACCGGCTGACCGACCTCGACGAAAGTCGTACTGGCGGTCGCTAATCAGCTGGTATTCCTCTAGGTACCTCAGGAGCTGGCAGTTAATGATGGTCTCCATTATTATTATTATTATTATGGGCCTGTAGTTGGACGGATCCGAGCTGTTGCCTTTCTTAGGGATCGGGTGCACTAAAGCGGCCTTCCAGGATTTCGGGAATACGCCTAGAGTATAGGAGAGCCGGAAAAGACGCGTCAAAACCGGTGTAAACTCCGGAGCACATGTCTTCAACACGATCGGAGGGATGCTATCGGGCCCACTCGTCTTATGAATGTCCAAGGAAAAGAGTTCTCTGCGAACTGCACTTTGCCGAAATTGAACCTCCGGCATCGTAGCATCGCAACGCGGGATTGTTGATGGTAATTTTCCTCGGTCATCCAAAGTCGAGTTGGACGCGAAGAGAGAGCCCAGAAGATCGACTTTCTCCTTCGCAGCATGGGCCAGCGAGTCATCCTCCGTGTGCAGGGATGGAAAAGAAGGCTTACAGAAATTTCCCAAGACAGCTTTGGCGAGAGACCAAAACGCACGTGTTCCCGTTGGGAGACGCGCCAATCTCTCGCCAATTCTGCGAATGTGTTCCGATTTCGCCTTAGCAATAACACTTTTGAAGGACCTAGAGGCAGAGTTATACTTCTTTTTTAAAGCGCTGGTTTTTCCATCACTTGACGTCGAAGCGTCAGCCCATGCCTGGTAGCAATCCCGCTTTCCGCGTAATGCGGAAACTTACAGGAGCGACCAAAACAAGGCTGCGACTTGCCACCAATGGGCACTGCAGAGTACGGAATAAAGAGTTCCATACCTTGAAGCACCACATCAGTCACTGAGTCAGCAACGACGTCTGGGTCATCCGGCGAGAAGCAAATCCGCCCCCATGGGTAGGACGCAAGGAATGACCGCATCCCATCCCAATCTGCTGACCTATAATGCCATACGCGGCGGCAGCCCACAAAGTGAGGCCGTGTTAAGCGCGTTATTGGCACTGTACTCCAGACAAGACAGTGGTCCGACGAGCCGAGGGGAGGATCGACGGAAACCAAGTATCCGTCCGGATGAGAGGTCAACAGAAGGTCCAACAGGGAAGGTGTATGATCCTCCACATCTGGGATTCGTGTTGGCGAGGTAACCAGTTGTGTCAGATCATATGTCAATGCGAAATCGTGAGCAGATCTCTTCGCGTGGTCGGTGGTACGAGATCCAAGCCACTCAGCGTGATGAGATCTGCTGCAGCACGGAATCTGTAGCTATTTGTATGTGCCCAAAGAGTCGGTCAGTTTCAGCATTACCGCTATGGGACCTGTACAGATACGCGTAGATTCGCAGATGGTCATCGCAGTCTACGCGTAGCCAGAGTATGGATAGGTCCCGCCCTTCAAGAGGCGACGAGAGCATATAACCTCTCTGACGTACACGCACACCCCAGCCCGCGGCACAAAGGAATGTTCCAGTTTATAAATTTTGTACCCTCCTCGGGTAGAAAATTTAAATTTCGCGCAGACATTATGGGGGAGGAATGTGGAGAGGGCGTCCGGGACTCTCACAGACCAAACGAAACGCGACAGCAAAGCTGCCACTTGACGTCGGTTTCTAGTGAGAGAGTGGTTCTTCCCCGAGCGTGCCGGCCCAATTCGGCTGCTACCCGAAGGTGCGCAGCATGGCACTACCACTAGTTGGGTCAGTCATGACTGCACTGGTGGAATAATCTCTGTCACAAGATTATCCCACCAGCGGGCGATGGGGTCGTCACGTCCCAACGCCAGAAATTGTTTATATGCTGTAAAGGATGGAAGAATAAATACACCAAGCTATGCTATGAATTTTTTTAGTTGATCCTGTGTTGTAAGGACGTTTTACAAACATAAATTTCACGCGGACAAACACCCAGATGCGAAACACACTGTGGGTCACACAAATAGTTGTCCCGTGTGGGAATCGAACCCACGACCCCCGACGCCGAAGCCAATACCTTGGCAAGGAGTCATTAATAAAATCTTTTTTATTACAAATTTTAATGTTTCGTCTTAAGTGCCGAGAATAGCACAATAAAAAATTTACTTAGAATTTTTTTTATTGGAAGTAGGAAAGAAACTTACTTGAAAATTGAAACATCCGGTATAGTCAGTGTCGGAACGTAGATCTGTGTTCAGACTATTGTGTCGGAACGTAGATCTGCG